TGGATACACCAAATTCGATATCTCTCGTGCATGGTTGATGGATACACCAAATTTCATATCTTTGCTGTGTGTATCAATCTAACCCTCTGTTGTTTGTTCGTAGTCTGCGCATTCTAAGGCTGAGATTAGCTAGGAAAGGTTGATCAAAGAGGTGTGAAAGTTTCATGCAGTAAGGTATGCATACTCCCATCCCCCGACCCCGTTTGTGTGATTTTACTTGTATGGTGTTCTTGTTATTAAACTGGGTCGATCTTTTGTTTTTTGGGGCCTCAAATCATCAATCTGGTTTTGAATTCATTGTGGTTACAAAAACAGTTGTAAGCTTCATATACTTGGCTGTGTGCGTGTCCATTTTGGATATTTACATACTCTCTAAAGACTGGTCTTCAAAACCAGGAGGCTAAAGTTTGAATCTTTGTTTTGCAGTGATGTTTATGTTTAGCTTACACTTCCAAAAAAAACTTACTTTCTTTTTTGGTTTGTCCTAAAATAAAGTTCCCATTCTATTTAAGGAAAGCATTGACTAGACATTATTTTTCTCTTCTCTGCGTACATTTTCACTTTTTTTTCAACTCCTGTTAAACTACGTGAAAAAAATGCGAAGTTTAATAGGGTTCAAAGGGAGTGTTTCGATATATGTTTCACTTTCACACCTATTGAATCTCAAATTAACTAAAGAAATGATCTTCATCCTATTTGCAGAGAGTGTGGACTTGAAGTGCAAGCTGTAGGGATGTGGCTTTCAGGGTAGCCACACTAAGGAGCTGCTGGGACAACGGAAAAAACGTAGGACCCAAATCCGGCTTCCATAACTTTGCTGACGCCATTGCACAACCAATTCCAATGGACAACATCATCTTCAGCAATCCCATAGCGCCAATAAAGGCCCAGTCTAAAAATCAGGAAAGGATTGAAGGGAACCTTGCTTACAGATTCCAAGATATCACTTTCTTCAATGGGTCTATGGAACTAATGGTTGTCCGTAAAAAGAAGCTTCATCCTCTAACAACTTCCTTAACATGACAATTAATTTTGAACACGCTGAAGTACCATTACATAACCTTTTCAAATTGCTAAAGCAGGTTACTCGTCACAAGAGTTACTCCAAAGCTATTGCCAATGAATCGCAGTTAAAACAAAATATGCTTATACTTCTTTCTTCAGAGGATTGCTTCTTAAGTGTGAATAACAAATTACCATAAAATGTTATCCTCAAATTGCCTTCAGTTGATATGACATAACCACTTTGTTTTAATAAAATTCATTTATATATTGACTATAGTGTTGCTCAAATGAGTACACAAAAGCGGAAGATAATGTTTCCATATACAGGCATAATTTTCACTGTATATTCCCAGGACTTTTCAACTAAAGTGAATCTTGAAATGTCAGCTGTTTACAACTTCATTTAGAAAAGAATGATAATTTTTATTTTATAAGCATTCTTGGATACATCACTAATCACTATTCCTTAAATAGAATATTAATTATTGTTTTAAATTTGAATTTACAGTGTCTTTGTAGCTTCTTTGAAAGTGGCAGGTGAAGCTCCTTCAGGAAACCGGATTCTTGATGATTGACTTGATTTGTCACCTTTGTAGATATCCATGTTCTTTGGTATTTCACCTTATAACATCTCTTACCTTCTTCTTTCCTTTATAAAAAATTGATATAAAAAAATAATGTTCTTATATCCTTTGATGGTTCTACTAAATGCGGATAACATTTTGGGAACCGAAGACAATGCGGCAGCAAAAAAGTGGCTATGTTTAGTTTTGAAGAGGCTTAAAAACACCTAGGGAAGTATTGTGTACTACTCCTCATCTTCTGGCCAAGCCCAATCATTAATTAGTTTATGAAAACATCTCAAAACTCTATTACGTTCCTTCTCTGTTTGTTTTACTAACCATAAGATTTTAGAGTTTGAGGCTCTAATTTTGACAATTATAGCTTTAATCTTAGGAGTCCTATAGTAGATCTTATATTTTTGTACTTATCATTGAGCCTTTATATACGTTTTGAGTCCATCGAATACCATCTAGCTGTCGTATTTGAGTTCAGAGTTATTTGCTTTACTTTATATTTTGAAGAGGTTGCATAAAAAGAAACCTGGGTCCAAGTTTACTACACTTATTGCAAAATCCTGGGACATTCTCAAATGAGGAATGTAGGATGAGATCTCTAGGGCCAATTCTAATGTGAACCTATGGAGGAAGAGGCCTAGAAATGTCCCTCTCAATGCAGCACCTAGCTTCTTTAGTGAAAATCATATGGGCTGTTCTAGAGTCCATGATACATGGTTTCCCCAAGGTGCTAGCTACGGTAAATAGTGCCTTGGAATTAATAAGATGGGTAGGTATGTTTTTGAATATGACCCAAATAGGAATAATTGGACAGTCTTTTGAGGAACAGTATTCTGGAGTCCATTTGAACATATATATTCTGATATTGTTAATGTACCAGTTACCTCTCATGAATAATTTAAGATATTCCTCCTCTTTGCAAAAAATGAACAGGATATCATTGTTGGAAAGTCTTCGAAGTTTGAAAAGTTTAGAGAATAGTTTATGTGAACCTGCTGATGAAGAATATGTTGAATGACTATGAGGGAGTTTGAGATTTTTCGTGTTATAGTGAGAACTGGCCGGAGTATTTACCGGAAAACCAGAGAAATCCGACCTTCTCTCTCCTCATTTTCATCATTTTATATTATATTTATATATATATAAATATATATATATATATATATATATATATATATATATGTATATAATGTTTTTGTAACCAAGAAAATAACAACAAACAAAGGTTGTGGTTTACACACTCTTATTTTCGGCCAGGGCCTAAAATAGGAGTAGGAAAACTTTATTTTGAAAAGGAAATATTTTGGATGTTTAGGGAAGGTATGGAGAGTGTGGTATCAGCCTAGGGTGGGTGTAGGACAACCATGGTGTTGGGTTGGGTTCTAAGACAGGAAAATGGAGAAGTTTCAACCCAATTAATGTCACCACACTTGGGCTTTATTCCCCTGATCTGTCTTTCCCTTGGCGGGCTACGGAGAGTCTTCGGGCATGCTCCCGGATATATATCATTTAACTTCCTTTGATTGATTTTCAGGTTGCTATTTCAATGGATACTCAATTACTGGGTGTTTTGCATCACTAGGCTCTCTGATTCCCATAGATGTAAAATGCTGTTATGGTCTATTGTCTTCTTCGCACATTGTTACAGTACTTGTGAGTCACTAAGATCGTTTCTTAATTTCTATAATTGCACTCTCTCATGGATTTAAACTAAACCAATCATGAACTTGATCATCATATTAGTGAGTTGAACTTTCTTGTTTTACTGGATTGAGTGATACGCTACGAAAAAAATTATGTTTGTTACTTTTTCCCAAATTTCAAACTTTTTTCCCAATTATTGATGGATAAACTGAATTTGATATCTCCCTTGCATGATTGATGGATACACCAAATTCGATATCTCTCGTGCATGGTTGATGGATACACTAAATTTCATATCTTTGCTGTGTGTATCAATCTAACCCTCTGTTGTTTGTTCGTAGTCTGCGCATTCTAAGGCTGAGATTAGCTAGGAAAGGTTGATCAAAGAGGTGTGAAAGTTTCATGCAGTAAGGTATGCATACTCCCATCCCCCGACCCCGTTTGTGTGATTTTACTTGTATGGTGTTCTTGTTATTAAACTGGGTCGATCTTTTGTTTTTTGGGGCCTCAAATCATCAATCTGGTTTTGAATTCATTGTGGTTAAAAAACAGTAGTAAGCTTCATATTCTTGGCTGTGTGCCTGTCCATTTTGGATATTTACATACTCTCTAAAGACTGATCTTCAAAACCAGGAGGCTAAAGTTTGAATCTTTGTTTTGGGTCAACCCAACGGGTTATGACTTTGATTTTAAAAAAATTTTAAGTTCATCTTAACACTTGCATTTTTCTTTAAGTAAAATTAAAATATTAAAAAAAATGTACTATATCTATTATATTATTTTATTTTAAATTATGAAATAATTTTACCTCTTAGATCTACATAATTTGAAGCTCCAAACAATTGAAATACAATCTAAGAGGAATATTTAGGCTCGAGCTTCTCGATGCTGTTATATAACCACTACCTTCATCGCTCACATCCGCCATGTGAAACTTTGAACAAAACAAATCAATCACCCAAGAACAAAAACATTATATATATATATATAATGTTTTTGTAGACTAAAACATTTAATTGTGGAACAGTCTCAGTAGGATCCCTTAGACCTTTTTGATGATCTTAGCCAAAAGGTCAAGAAACGTAGTAAAAAATTTATTTTTTAGTAGATGAGTTCCACCACGTTAAAATTTAAACACAACACAATAACAAAAAAATATTACATATATACTTGGCTGGAGAGTCAATTTGACAATATTCACCTTGGTAAGAGATTTTCCTATTTATTAACCTCTTTCATGTCCTACTTGATGACAGGGTTCATGCCGAGTCTTCTTTATTGGCCGGAGCTTGGCGGTACTTTGAACAAATTGGAAATTTCAACGCCTCCACCGATCAACAAAATGGAAATTTCACCATGTACCGGTATTGGTTTTCCTCTTTTTGTCGGATATCTCCCAAAAAAGAATTGTCTTAATATGAACTGCTGCACTCTAATCAAAACCACACTATTACAAATAGGTGCTTAAGGCCATGTGACATTCAGATTCCACTAAACCGGCTATATTTACCCTGTCAAACGCCACAGACAATGGTTGGTCTTCATTCTTAAAGCCTGTTAATGTCATATTCATTCCTTTTTTACTTATTCACAATTTTTAAACATGGGAATAGCTTAATGCACCCCTGCAAGTGGTTGTTGGGTTAGGTTCTTGGTAGGGATTTTGTTTCTTACGTAGGGGATTGGACCTGATTTTGGGTTTGGCTTTGGGTTAGGTTCTAGGTTGACTTTTAACTTTAGTGTTTGACAATCAAATTTGTGTTAGGTTTGCGGGTACAATCCGTTGGATTTTAATTTTTAGGTCAGAGTCGTGTTTTGAGTTAAGGCAATTGTGTTTTAGTGTCTTGTTTTTTGTTGTGGTTCTAAATACTATCGAATTGTTGTGGTTCTAAATACTATCAACCTCAGATTTCCAGATTATAGGCATTGCGTATCAGATGTGCAGATTTCCCGGTATGATTGAAACGTTTTCTCTAATTCCTCGTCTTGTATTTATGGATCCTTCCCTTAATAATCCCCTGCCAATTATTTCAGCGTGGGATGAGACACCATCTCCAAGATTCCTCCTAGGTATAATCTTATGAGTTCTTTGGCTTGTTCTTCTCTTTTTTGTTTCTTTCTATTACTGAAAGAAGGGTCATTTTTCACCTACAGGTAGGGCTAAACCTGCAACTGGTTGGAAAATTGTTCTTCAGGTAATTTAAATTCCATGTATTCAAGAGTGCTCAAATTCAGATGTGTATTCTGCTCAAATTACTTCCTTTGAACATTCTGCATAATAACTTGCAAGCTTGTGACTATAAAGAATACATTTTTAGCAGTTTTTCAATTATGGCCTGTTTTTTACGTCTTTGCAATCCTGTTTGAAACTGAAAAATGAGAGGCGTGCCATGTGATTTTTTAAATTTCAAGGCTATAAAGTAAGGAGTGAGTGTTGGACTCTGGTAAAGGTTAGGAGTGAGTGTTGGACTCTTGAAATCCATTATGCAAATGGGTTAGAATGGTTGGGTATACACAATTCTTTTCCAACTACGTTCACCGCTCAGGAGGAATAAACATTAGCCAAATTCAAAGAAAGATAAATCGTATCACATTTGCTTGTGAACTGAGGGTTGATAACAAAAAATTTGAAGGACCAAAGCGGGGGAGTTGCACAGTGAATGTGTTGTGTGAAGATATCGTATTGCCGGAGGGCATTATGAATGTTGGAAAGGAAAGGGAAATAAGTGGTGAAGAACCAAGCCGGAAACGGCTGACATTTGATGAGAATGATGGAGACCATGAAGACGTCGTGCATACTCTTCCAGAAGAAGACCCTGAGTATTCAGCCAAAAAACAAAAAAAAGAATTTTTTGGTTTCTATATTTATTCATAAAGTAGTTTTCAAGATTTCTTAAAGACTATGTTGAAAATACTTTTCACCCTTACCATTATTTCCAAATACACTTTCTGAATTTTTATGAAATTATTTGAAATTTGGTTTATACCATCAGCAATTCAAATGGAAGTTGTTATGAATTTATTTTTTCACTATAATCTCTGAAACTTTACTCTATCAAGGAATAAAAGGGTTACATATTTTAGCATCCTCTGTCATGTTCCAAAGTCGTTCAAACCAAGGACTTCGTTATAGTGTTCAAATTTTTTTCCTTTTACTTTTTCCCGTTTCCCCTAACAGACATCGGGTTTTTCCCTTAACAAACATCGGGTGGGTCGTTCCCTATAGCTTTTTATATTCTCTCTTAGGGGATTTAGTTAACTCCTCTATCCTTTTACCTTTCTTTATTAAAAAAAGAATGCTTTTAAAAATGTACCCTAAGACACTATTATCTATGTGACCAGAGAAGTTCAAGAAACCGGCCCGTCAAGCATCGATTCCGGTGAGCAGCTTCCGGAACCCATCCGTCGACCCTCAGAATTAGCCAAACCCATTGTACACGAATGAGCCAGTACGAAGAAGAAACATTCCAGATTCAATTTTGGACGCATTTTGACAAGTTTGCGCCCATTCAACAGTCATGGTGCATCTATCGAGCAACTCCGCCTAACCCATCAGGTATTGTCTTCTTCTTTATGACCTTTTCTTAAAACTACTGTATTTAAATTGTGAAGGGCAGGCAGCACCAAAAACAACCGCTTCTTATGCCTTTGTTGTTCACTCTTTAGAAATATAAATCCAATCTGATTAGTTTCCTATTTCAAGAATTTTGAGGAAAAAATATCATCTGATCATTCTCAACTAAGCTAAAGCCCTACTGCACCTTAGCCTTTTAATCAATCGTTGGGGGGTTCATATCTGCACTCTTTCTTTGTGTTGCTTTACAATTCTTTCGTCTTTCATATCTGCATCTCTTGTTCCGCGTCTAGCTTTTAGTTAAACAAAGAGGGCTGATATTTTGATTGCTTATTCTTTCCAAGATTATTAGGATTGCTGGTTAGATTGTGAGATCATATTTGTTCTTTCAGCACCCCTTATTGATTGAATTGCAAATCAATACCCCTAATTAGACAAATTGCAAAAATGCAATCCAGCCAAGAATCAAGATTGCCCCGTACTTTTACCTAATTTTCAATATTTTGCCGGCCCTATTTTGTGTAATTGAAGCTGAATGGACGCAAATTACTCCTACTACTTTTTTTTACAGTCCTGCAACTACTACTACCCCTTTTAATCATTTAATGTGTGAATGTTATAAGTGAATTTTATTTAGGGGGAGATTAAGATAATAATATTAAAGAGAAATGAAAATAAGAGTAAGAATTGACCTCATGGAATCTTATAGCCCACAGTATATAGGTCTAATTTTGTATAGTATACCACATGACCTATTAGCATTTTTTAAGTGTTAATTTATTTATATGCCTTCCTATTAATAGTAACCATATCTTTTAACTTTGATTTATGATGCCTCATGTTTATAGGTTTTGGAAGTGAGAAATGGATTCTACGAGAACTCATGCTGCAGCTTTGGGTTTTGCTTATATATGCCCTTCATTAATGAAAGTTCATAATTTATGCTACTGCACTCTGGTATATAAATAAAAAGAAAAAAATGCAGTGGTAGGTTGTATATGGTTCCTCATGTAAAAGTTATTCCATTCTGAGTGAGCTTTGTTCATGGTTTAGGACATTTTGGTGGCTAATTGATCTTAGTTGTAATTTGGCAGGGAATACATCCCAGTGGGCGTGTTTGCAGCCATGACAGTGTTAGAAGTCCTGATCTCTTTTGCCCGTGTCTTGAAGAGGGGAATGATGATGTGAGTTGTTCGGAGAATTATATTTTCTTTAAAGATGATTATTACTCTCTCTGTCCCAGGGTATCGTCTAACTCTTTTCAGTCCGAATGGCTATACTTTGATCATCAATTAAATACAAATTGTTTTGCATATCATTAATACAATGAAATCATTTTTTGAAAGTCTTTTTCTATGGTAGATGTAATTAAATCATTTTTGTATTAATATGCAATGCAATTTTTGTTTATTTGAAGGTTAAAGTGCGCCCAATTTTGTTTCAAAAAAAGTGCACCGAATTTGCCTAAAAAAAGCCAAACTGGACAGATACCTTAAACGAAGTATTAATTAATGAAAGCCTGAAAGGATATTTATTGGCAAAGCCAAAGTAGATTTCGACCACAACACAACACGGGAAAGCTAGAATAGGAAACTACTAAAGGGAAATTGTTGCTACTATTACTAATACTCCCTAATAATACTACTGATAAGAGTAACAAGTACAGAGTATTTACTTATTAAAACCTAGATCCGTATCAGCTTTCTTCCATGCTCCTACCCTGCTTTTTTCCCATGTATTTTAATTTTTATTAGTATCAACATTGTCTTACATGAGGAATGACAAACAACTTTTGTTTTTGCTCATCCTTTCTCTCAATATAGTTTCCCCCTAAGTAAACTCCTCATTTCACTGATGCTATGTTTTTTGCTTGTCATTGAAATAGTGGAAGATAAAATAACTTGAAGCTTACAACTTCAAGGTGACAGCATTCATATGACACCACCTACTGCCTTAGTTGTATCTCACACACTTTTTTTTGGTTGTATCTCACACACTTTTTTTGGTTGTATCTCCCACTTATACTGTTGTTTGACAGCACATTGTAGGCTCATACTATTCATGTTCTCGTAGTCAACTCAATCAGATATAGGTTCTATTCGATTCATTTTTTATCTCTACATTATTTTTGTTTCCGCTATCTAGCTGGTGGCTGGCTAATGAGTACCAGTGTACCACCAGACGACAATTTTCTAACATTCAACAAGTGTTAATCAACCTTCTCTTTTTAATAAACTGATTTTTAGTTGGACTGGTGATGATGCTTTAAAGGAGTTACAAGACGCTAATGTGTCAAGACAGTGCTTCCCAATATTACAAGAGTGTGCTACAAAGGTTGTCTCTCTATTACACGTGTAACAACCTAGTGCATACTAACATTACTTTTCTTATTGGCGAAATAATTGCTAACGTCATTTTTAAGTCTTTTGCATCACTTGCTGCCATTGCTAACTTTCCTGAAGGCAATCAGAGTTGCTTCTGATGCAGAGTCCAATGTTCCTCAGCTCAGTGGCAAGGCAGCAACTGCACTGGAAGGTACTGCATCTTGTCACAGATCTAAGCAATGGTTCCACTGTAATTCATGATTTTGAAATGTGATGCTGCTGACCAGGGTTGTTCTCGTCGCTTAGTTACCTCTTCTCAGAGAATGGGGCTCATGTATGCGATTATCAGCTAGCACTTCAGCGTCATATCAAAAGAGTTGCTGGTACGTGCTTCTAAGGAAAAACACCACTTGATTAATGTTAATTGTTACCCACTTCTCGAATGTAAAGCATCATTGCATTTTATGATGAAAGGATGGAGCGATTCTGATGTGAATAGAGTTCTCAAAATATTTCCTAAATGGCATGGGAAATAGAGCATTTTTTTGAGGGAAAACAGAGCATTAATATGAAAGGAATCAACAAAATATTTCATTCGTCCATTGCGTAGGAAAAAGGAAAACTTTCCTTAAAACATACCATAAATGGCATGAGAAAGGGATGGATATTTAAAATATTTCCTTCCATTTATGCCAAGTCAAATGATGAAGGAGATTAAGGGTAATTTGATTTCCTTATTTGGAAGATTGCTCATTCAAGTTGGTAGATCAAGACGAAATCCTTTCATATACAAAGATTTAATTTCATTAATACTTTCCATATGCATAGAAGACTACCAAGCATGAAGTTAGTATATTTAATCATTCTTGGCCAAAATTAATGTATATGTGGCCAATAAATCAAGAATAATTTTTTATTCATATTGTATTTATTTGTTTCCTTTTTTAGAGAGAAGCCTATATTAAGGATCATTCTCCTTCTTTATAAATCACTTTAAGTTTTGAGATTAATATAAGCTTGTTTTTTGAGTTCATATACTCTTTTTAGACTTATTAACTGTGATACTTGTGGTGTCATAATTCTCTTATCAAGGCCTTGTAGCGAGATTCGTCTCTCTTATCTGGTGTCCTTGTGGCGAGAATGTCTCTAATCATCTTTCACGAGGTGTGGCGATACAAGCTCTTATGTGCTTTGCAGGAATGGCAAGTCATTTATCCCTATTAAAAATTTTGAAAGGAACTCTTTCACACCAAATTCTTCTACCCCCCGTTTTTGCATCAAGTTAGCTCATTAAATTTGATCTACGAGTATTGAGTATCATGAAGGCCTATTAAAGGGTATCCTGATGAACATAACGAGAAAGGGTCCACACAAGGGTGTAATGTAGGCAAACCTTACTTCTTGTAAGAGGCTGCTTACTGATTCAAACTCGTGACCTCAAGCTCACACAACAATACCTTAATCAGTGTGCCAAATTAATGCCAATGCTTCTCTTTTATCACTCTCCTAGTAAAGGTCTTTAAAAATGTTTTAGTCGGTTTTATATGAAGATTGTTACAAGTCATTGAGCTCTTTGAAGAGGAAATGATGCAGAAACATAATCAATTCACTTTCCCTATTTACAGGAAGTGCTGTGAATATATGGGCAAATACATTTAGCTTATGGCGCTTGAATCCAGCTGTTGTCTTCAGAGAAATTGCTGATCTTTCTCTATCTGTAATTCTTACATCAGGGTATTCATGAATGCATTCAAGACTCCTTTGAATTTTAGTGGTGATAAATTTATATTTGCTCTGCTTTTAAAAGTTTTTGCTTTGTTTCGAGTTCTAAAAAATTCTTCTATGGTCCAAACTAGCTGTAACGCCAATGGAGTACAATGTTCTAGAGAAGAGCATTAATTTAAAATGTGATATATTTAAGTACCTTAGGGAAAAATTTGTTCGCAGAAATTCAGCACGACATACTTTGGATATTTCATCCTGGAGCTTATTCTAAATTACTGCGTTTGTGTACTTGTCTCTATTTCTTCTTTAAATTTTGTTAATATGCAGAGCATATTTGGAATTCATCCTATAAGGTCATTATTTAATCAGATTTGCTCTTACAGGACTCTGTCACCTATGAACTCCTTTTCATCTGAACTCGGTGTTCCTTTTAGTACATCACTGGAAGCTCCACATGTTATAGACACTGAGTCACAGGTATCATGGGCCTTTGTTATAATCATGCACACATATGTGTTATAAATAATGAGCTGACTTGCTAAATGTTATCTCCAGTTATGGGCAGCTATAATCTCCAGAGGCCCTAGAAGTTATCCACTGAATGCAAGTTATAAAACCGCCGATTCATATGCTTTCCAGGTACTCTAAGCCATTTAGACTAACCGTGACCTAAGTTGCACAGTGACGGGAACATATATGAGATGGGAAATAACAATCTTCAAAATTTCAAATACGGGTACGTCAAGGATACAATGAAAATAAATTATTTAGGAAATTTAAGATCAAAAAAATATTTAGGAAATTTATGAACAAGTGAAATGAATCAACTAATCAAGGATAGTAGTGAATTGAGGGTATTTGGAATTTTGAATTGTCATGGTGGAGTCATTCATACTGATAGAGCATAAGAATTGGGAAAGGATTGTAAGGGAAGACTGGGATAAGGGTAGTATTGGACTACATGAAAGGGAACATAGCTCCAAGCCCGCAAACACCACAAATGTACTCTGTAAGTTTAGCTCTAATAAGACATGATTTAACATAGTGCTTTAATTGAAAGATTAGATCAGTTTCTATCTTTGTTTTAAGATGACAATTGACATTGAAACTTAGCCAATGGAACCCAAATGGGTTACTGAAACTGTGTCAGTGATTTGCAGTGGCAAGTCGCAACAATAGGAAATCAAGTACGTTTATTTAATAAAATGGTGCCGGACGCGGGTAAAGTGTCCGAACCAAGCACGAAGCATTCCCAGTTTTCTTCACGCTCTCCTCGCTTAACTTCTGGACAAATCTCTTTTTAGTAAATATTACAAGGAGCTATACCTTGGCGTCCTCACACCATCCTCGTCTCCGTCCCTAGGCTGATTCTGGTGTCCACACGAAACCTGATGGCCAAAACACGTGCCTCTAATCACGATTTTTCTCAGATCAATTCTCTTTCTCTGTGAAGGATTCACTTGGTACATCTATAGAAGAAATATGCAAGACTGTTCCTGGTGGCTGTCTTATATTTTTCCCTAGCTATAAGCTGATGGAGAAACTTAGTTGTCGCTGGCAGGAAACAGGCCAATGGGCTAGACTTAATGCTAGAAAACCACTTTTTGTTGGTAAGATTTGTCCAAGTTCATCATTTTCTCATCAATGCTTTATTTACTTGCACATGAAGGACCTAGTTGACAACAACAACCCCAGTAAAATCCCACAGTGGGGTCTGGGGAGGGTGGGCTTACGCAGAACTTAACCAGATTCGGAAAGTAGAGAGGGAAGGACCTACTTGACTAAAAAATAGAAACTATGGACACAACATTTCTGGCTGTGAGGAAGTAAGCTGATTTTGCTTTATTATGCTTACTGCTTCCCCATAATTTTTCATTGGTTGGCATTTTTTATTTAGAGCCAAGAGGAAGCCAGGAAGAATTTGAATCTGTTTTGAAGGGTTATTATA